TTTCCGATCAATCAGTTATATGGCAGCTATAGGATATAGTCGGCCGATCCCGGCCGTTCCGACTTATATACTGCGTGCAAAGGAAAGAAGGGTGTGTGCAAAGTTTCAATTCGATATCTTTAAAACTGAGAGACTAGTTCGCGTAGAAACAGACAGACGGACAGACAGACGGACAGACAGACGGACAGACAGACGGACAGACGGACATGGCTATATCAACTCAGGAGGTGATCCTGATCAAGAATATATATACTTTATAGGGTCGGAGATGTCTTCTTCACTGCGTTGCACACTTTTGACCAAAATTATAATACCCTCTGCAAGGGTATAAAAAAGAGGGGCACCGACTTTGAAAAAGTGAGTTGTGGGAAAAACGCTTTAAAAAAAAGTTTTGGAATTTACCTACTCGGATCAATCTAAAACTTTAACGCAAAATTTTTCAAGTGTACATTAAAAAATTAAAAATTAAAAAAAAGGCAAAAAATGTAAATAACATACCCCCCCCAAAAAAAAATGGCTTCTGGGCATCCATTTCCAAATCTTGACATTCGATTTGCCTTGATCCTGCATATTAAATTTAATTTTTTGAAAACGTCCGGTTGATTTTATGTTTACCTTGTAAAGTCAAACAACGTTTCTTTCTTTTAAGGAACTAAATCAATTATAGCTATACAATTAATCATTATACCATTAAGAGTATAGAGCCAAATGGTTAGAGCCAAAATAGTTAATTAAGACCCATGTGTGCCAATATTTTATTTTGGGGAAATATGTTCCTTTTTTGGTTTTTTATTTTTAATAAATTATTTTTAAAAGATAACTTAATGAAGTCACTTGTATTTAACAAAAAATTATTGATTGTATGTTTGTCACTGTAGATCAACGCCACTGATTGGGCATATATATCCTTTAGCAGTTAAATGAACAATTGGGTAAAATTAGCATTTTTTACGACATTTTTATTTCATGCAAATTTCTAGTAGTATAATGTTTTTTGGATCAATACCTTAAGTTTTATCAAAATCGGATGACTATATCCTAAAGCTGTCATATATCTGCATACTGCCCGTAGTGTTCTATGGAGTTTATTTGCGCAGTGTATTCTCGGACTGGTAAGTTGATTGTAAAAATCAACACGTTCATGTTAAGTTTAATTAATAATTTATAAAACAATAACAAACTTTATTTTTGGAATAAATGCTGTTATATAACTCCTCCATCGGCTTCCCGTACCCCCGCCACTGATTAGAACCTCAACATTTCTAATTAAAAATTTACGAGCAATACTCTCTCATTCCTATATATTCTTTTATATGTACTTTTCTGAATTTCCACTTACCCACTGAAATACTGCTATTATATATGTTTATATGCCTTTTATGTTAGTTAAAAGAAATTGTTTCCGGTTCGAGTAAGAAATAAACCGGAAATGGTAATGCATTTTGTAATTATATTAAATAAATGTAAACGACTGAAATGAATTTCTCGAAGGGTATATTAGTATGTTGTATTCGTTCAACAATTTTCTATTGAGACACACATTTGCACACATTTGTCAATTAATTCTACTTACAAGATTTTTAGACCACTTTGAGTTTGAGTAAATCTGTTATAACTATGTGCTTTAGTATTTTTTTTTAATAACTAAGTAACATAAGAAGGTTAAGATTAGTAAACATTGATTTCCGAACTAAATGTTTTCAATTCGTTACCTGACAACGGTCAGACAAATTCATCATGCAATGCTGAACAGAAAGATTTTTTATTTTAGCCAATTTCACCTGCACTGAAGTGAGAACTGAAAACAAAATCCACTGCTTGTAAACTTTATTTGTGATAAGAATAGTTTCTCGTGCGCGAGATAAAACTGTCCTGTCATGCTTACTCTGATATTCCGATGGAAAACCGTAGGAGCATTTTGCTACTGTCATCGTGGCTAGGGGATTTTAAAATCGTTTCTACCAAATAAAATCTTCAGTATTATCGCTCGAATATGGATGAGTGGGGACTGGGTGTATGTATGTGTCATTAGCTGGGCGTTTGTGTTGGCAACTTTATTTTGATTAGGCTCAATGAACTAAGATTTATCTGGTTAGATGTGTAAAGATAAACAAAATTATGACCTTACTCAGAGCACTGACGAAGTGGTTTAGAAACACTTTTTAAAGTTTCAATCAAAAAATAGTTGAACTCTTTTGAATGAATTATATTTTAATGAATTGATTAAGTATCCCAAATTTGATTTCTTTTAAGAATCTTTTTTAAGATAAAGTTTGTGCTTTACCTTTTTTAAGAACTAAAAATTAAAAGTGTATTAATAGGAAATAACAAAAATGTATGTATTTGAAAACATTGGTGGATATACAAAATATTAAGTCCTTCAATGTTTCTAATAATCATGAAAAACAAATTATCCTAAATAAATTATTATAATCATAATTTCTTAATAAATATGTTTTTTAATTTTTTTTATTTTCTGGTTCACTTAATATTAAACTTTAACAGTTTTTTCTCTTTACATTTATATAGAACTTTAACACTATGAAGAAATATTTAATTTAGACATTTTCTTAATGTAATAATTTAAAAAAAAAACATTAAGTTTTTCCATTAGGTTGGTGCTGTATAATTTTCGGCTGTCGAAGGAATCGAATTTTCAGTCTCAAGCTGAAAATGGCATACAAATCTAGGTATTGTTATGCTTCTGGTACAGTACATAATTTGGTAAAAAAAAAATTTTTAATTTTACCAAAACTAATGCTTTCTACTTTAAGTCTCAGGTCTAAAATTAACTTTATTTAATTTAATCAAAATATCTCCCGTACTAATCGATTTAAATTTCATAAAATTTAACAGTCTTATTGTGTAAATTTAAAGAGTAGAACAATATATACTTTAATTGGAGTATTATAGCAACTTTTCAATATATTTATAGTAATCCCTTATAGTTTTCTTAAATTTCAACTATATTCTAAACTTGTAAATACACTTATTTGCGACTAACGTATTAATGTTAGTTTGTCTAAGTCTAAGTCTAAAGTCTAAGCGTATTTTAGTTCACTTTCCCCATTGCCATGGAAACATTTAAACAATCCACAGCAGCTGTAAAGTGACCTATAAAAATTCTCCAATTTATTGTTCGCCTCGCATTGTTGTCAGTGTTAGTCATTATCGTGAGCATTGGCTCTTTTGATTCAGCACGGGCGTAGAAAACCTTCCTCAAACTGAAATCGGACGCGAACGACAGTACAAGCGTCGATTTGCATATGCTTCGCATGCTTGCTCCGCTAGCCTGGGCATATGTTTAATATTTATTTTCTGCCATTTGCTGACCACAGCAACAATAACTATTACGAGTCTATACAAAGTACACACAAGTCGCAGCGCATTAGCAACATTAAAGCATAAAGTCAAAAATTAATTCAAGGGGCAACTTTAAGACTTTCTTATAAAAGTCCTCAAACAAGAAAGGAAGCAAACTTCGGCAAGCCGAAGTTTATATACATAAATACAAAACGACTACATTTCGATTTCTTTGCCTATATAATTAAAAACAATGAAGCTATATCGATTTTGCGGTGCATTTTGCAATAGTTTCTAATATAGTAAATAATTATACTATGGATATAGTCGCCGGATCCGGCTTGTTCCGACTTATATACTACGTACAATAGAAAGACAACTTTTGAGAAAATTTCAAGCAGATAGCTTTAAAACTGAAGGACTAGTTTGCGTAGAAACGGACGGGGGGGACAGGCGGACAGGCGGACATGGCTAGATCGACTCTCCTGGTGCTGCTGATCAAGAAAATATATACTTATAGGGTCGGAAATGTCTCCTTCACTGCTTTGCAAACTTTTGACTGAAATTATAATACCCTCTGCAAGGGTATAAAAACTACAAACGAGAGATAAGGTCGTTTGGGTTCACGCAGTGACAGACAAATTTCTTGTTGTTTGGTTCAAAAGTTAAAGTTAAAATTAAAGTAATCATTCCTCGAAATTTTATTAAGCCAAAAGGTAGGTAACCTATACTACTTTTATGGAGATTAAAGGGCTTAGTGATGCCTGTAGAGTAGGTACAGAGCAGTAGGAAATTAAAAACTAACTAACAATTATATAGATAGTAAGTTTCGATAAGTACTTGGTGCACATTGTGCGTGTTATTATATAGATAGTAAGTTTCGATAAGTACTTGATGTACATTGTGCATGTTTGACAAATAATTTTTACCACTAAAATAATTTGTATTTTATTATCTATTTTATTTGTTATGTTTAAAAGTTAAAATTTTTGCTTTCGAACCATACTGCTTAAGCTTTGCCAAAATCTAAAATATTCATGGGCAGTCGTACCTTTATTTTTTTTTTGACGAATACTGGCCGTGTGTTTCAAGATAAGTTTTTTTTTGGTTGTAAAATATTTATATTAATATATTTATATTAATATATTTATATTAATATTTTTTGTAGTCGATAGCCTGAATTTTGTGATGACTTGGAGGCAACGCATTTTTAACATTTCATCATTTAGCACGAATGGCAGCGGTGTCCGATAAGCGCAGTGCATAAAACCTGTTGCTGCCGACCGTCAGTTAGCAGTGCTACGTAAGCCAAGGCAGACGTTGTGTGACTATATTAGCGATCTAGCTCACAGTTTTAATTGCACATCTGCAAGTGCGATTGACGTGTGCTAATAATCAAAGCAGTCGCTAGAACACGCGAGACCCAAGGTACAATCGATTATCATCCGTTTTGATTCGCAATTTCAGTGTCAGTCGCTCCTGTCGAAACATTTATTAAGAGAGGTACCTTGCACCGTTAAAACAAGTGTAGAACCGGATTACCGTTAGACGCACATCTAATACTTCGTAAGTTCTGGCTTACGTGGAATACATTAATTAGAGTGCGTGTCCAAAGTACGCGTCATGCAAATCGCGCTAAAAAAAATGATATGCAAAACTAAAACTAAAGCGCCGTGAATTTTGTGCGCTTTTTGCAGGCACACACTACCCACCATGGCCAGCGAGCAAACGATCGCGGGAGCAGACGCAATCGGCGCCGACGAACCCTTCTTGGGACTATTGGACGTGGCCCTACTGGCGGTACTGATTGGTGGAGCCGCGTTTTACTTTCTACGCAGCCGCAAGAAGGAAGAGGAGCCGGCTCGGAGCTATTCTATACAGTAAGTATAATTTGATAAAACGAAAATTACTTATTGGAAAATTAAAACTTATTAGTAAAAGCTTTATTGCAAGATATTTTTAATAAGATTTAGGTTTTGTTTATTTCTTAATTTGATTTAAAAATTGAAAACGTAAGGCTTTTATTATATTCTAACTTTACAATTTTAAACTGTAAATATGTTTAGATGTGGAGATACCTGGTATTTGTAAAATCAACCAACTATACAGTAAAATGCTTCAACATGTAATTGTTGGTTAAAATTTCTGTAAGTAGCAGTGAACAGAGCTAATCGGAACATGAGAGAACGCTATAGTCGAGTGCCTCGACTATTAGATACCCGTTACTCAGCTAAAAAAGTTAAAATTATCAATTTGAATTCGGCGATCTCTTAGAGCTGGCAGCTTTACAGCACGAGCATCAGCACCAGCGCTGCTTTAGCGCAGGCAGCTGTTGTCCTGCACCAGCAGCTGTGTTTATGTTTATGTTTTTGAGTGCAATAAATTGACTAGAAATATTAAACATACATACTTATATTGGCTAAACACATACATTCTTAAATAGTATTATGTATATTAAAGTATAAATGTTTGCACAACACGAGTAACGGGTAAAGCGAATAGCTTTCTTTGAAAGAAGTTATCTTTGCCGGGCAATTGCAACTGTGTACAATGTAAATACATGCATATGTATTGGCTTCATACATACACACATACGCCATTGTTTGACTCAGACCTCCAATTTGGCTAACTTGATTTGATTTGCATAGTTCTTGGGATATAGTTCGGTATTGACAAATGAAAACCATTGCAATTTCCTTTAATAGAAATCCTTATCGAGAATTAACGTCGACTCTGTTCCTGCTGTTCCAAAGTCATCCGTTAGATGGCGCCATGAAAGGCGGAAATGTAGGCGCTAGCCAGGCTTAAGCGTTTAATGGGTTTTTGGGCGTTAGAGTGGGCGTGACAAACTTTTATTAGGCCAATCGATAGGTATTGACGAAACAAATACATATCAATTAAAATTTTCATAATAGCATCAGAACTGTGGCCACAGCTTGTGTCTTGTGGGCGTCTGAGGGGGCGTGGCACCATTTGGAAACAAACTTGCGCTGCGTAGGAACTCCTCAAATCTACATTGAAAATGCCAATCCTCTAGCTTTTATAGTTTCCGAGATCTCAGCGTTCATACGGACAGACAGACAGACAGACGGACAGACAGACGGACAGACGGACAGACGGACGGACGGACATGGCTAGATCGACTCGGCTAGTGATCCTGAACAAGAATATATATACTTTATAGGGTCGGAAACGCTTCCTTCTACCTGTTACATACTTTTGCACGAATACAATATACCCTTTTACTCTACGAGTAACGGGTATAATTATATGTTACTTAATACATTTCGTAATGATTCCAAAAAATTCAACTTATAATTGTATTTTATCGATTTAACTCTTTTTTTTATTGCATACAGACCCACAACAGTGTGCACCACCAGTGCTGCGGACAACTCATTTATAAAGAAGCTCAAAGCCTCCGGGCGCAGCCTTGTCGTTTTTTATGGTTCGCAGACCGGAACCGGTGAGGAATTCGCCGGCCGCCTAGCTAAGGAGGGCATTCGATACCGTCTAAAAGGAATGGTTGCGGACCCCGAGGAGTGTGATATGGAGGAGCTACTGCAGCTTAAGGACATATCTAATTCTCTGGCCGTTTTCTGCCTGGCCACCTACGGCGAGGGAGATCCTACGGACAACGCCATGGAGTTCTACGAGTGGATCACCAACGGCGATGTCGACTTGACCGGGCTTAATTATGCGGTAAGTGTCAAATTTAACACTCGATTCGACGTTATCTAAACGAATGTCTCTGGCCTTGAATACCGGGCGAATACCGACTCCGATCCGCTTATCAAACAGTGCCTCATTGATAAGCATTCTTTTCCACCCGTATCTCAATTTTGTATATTTCCGTATGCTAGCTTTTAAAGTTTGTTTGATACTGCTGATGTAATCGGATAAAAACCATTTGAAATGGCATGGGCTCGGGTCTTTTTACAAATTGGTCATGGAAGTAAAACTGTATAACATTTTAAAATATTTTCGATATTAGACAGAAGTGTGCAACGGAGTATAGTATTTACGAATTACCAAATCCCAAAGAACGAAAAAAAAATTGAAAACATCAAATTTATACTTTTTTAAAATATTTTTTTCCCATTGTTCCTATGGGAGCTATATGATATAGTCATCCGATCCGGCTCGTTCCGACATATATACTACCTACAATAGAAAAACAACTTTTGGGAGTGTTTTAAGCAGGTAGCTTTAAAACTGAATGGCTTTTTATACCCTTGTAGAGGGTATTATAATTTTGTTCAGAAGTTTGTAACGCAGTGAAGGAGACGTTTCCGACCCCTAAAGTATATATATTCTTGATCAGGATCAATAGAGGATTCGATATAGCCATGTCCGTCTGTTTCAATACTGTTTGCGAGCTCAGTTTAAAAGCTAGCTTTCTGAAACTTTCACAGTTGTCCTAAAACATGTGTACGCAGATCAAGTTTGAAAACCGCCCCGATCAGTTGTCTATATCCTACAGCTCCCATAGGAACAATCGGATATAACTTTCAAAATGATGTTCGCGATAGGAACAATACGGTGAAATCGGTCAAAATTTCATGTTTTTTAGAATATTTCGCGCAGTGTTTAAGCTATTGACATACATTTTTCCAAGTCTTATTTATTTACGCATACCTTGCCGATCGGATGTTTATATCTTATAGCTTTCGTAGGAAAAATTGTTAAAGGCTGCGAAAATATCCCTTTTTTTCCTATTTGTATATGACAATTTTGCAGTATAAAAGCTATTGACATGAAACTATGCAATTTATCTAATTTATTTATGCATACCTTGCTCAGGGTAAAAGTTGCTGCCAATCAGACAAGTACATACTACAGCCGCTATTTAAAAATGAATCTGATTACGTATAGCTAATCTTTTTATACCCTTTCAGAGGGTATTATGATTTTGGTAAGAAGTTTGTAACGCAGTGAAGGAGACGTTTCCGACCCCATAAAGTTTTCGATATAGCCATGTCCGTCTGTCCGTCTCTCCGTCCGTCAGTCTGTCCGTCTGTTTCAATACCGTTTGCGAGCTCAGTTTAAAAGCTAGCGATCTGAAACTTTCACAGTTGTCCTAAAACATGTGTACGCAGATCAAGTTTGAAAACCGCCCCGATCGGATGTCTACATCCTAGAGCTCCCATAGGAAGATATTTCGCGCAGTGTAAAAGCTATTAACATAAATCCAAATCTTTACTAATCTTATTTTTTTATGCATTCCTTGATCAGGGTAAAAGCGCTTGGCGATGGGACGTCTATATCCTATAGCTCCCATAGGAACAATAGGGTAAAATCGGTTAAAATTTAATGATTTTTAAGATATTTCGCGCAGTATATAAGCTATTGACATGAATCTTTCCAAATCGTATTTTTTTTATGCATACATTGATTAGGGTAAAAGCGCGTGATCGGACGTCTATATCCCATAGGAACAATAGGGTGAAATCGGTCCAAATTTGATGATTTTCTGAATTTTTCGAGTAGTGTGTAAGCTACTGACATAAATTTCTCCAAGTCTTATTTAATTACGCATATCTTGATTAGGGTAAAAGCGCTTGCCGATCGGACGTCTATATCTTATAACTTCAGTAGGAAAAATTGTTAGAGGCTGCGAAAGTATCCCTTTTTTTCAATTTTTATATGGCATTTTTGGAGTATAAAAGCAATTGACATCAAGCGATACAAATCTAGTTTATTTATGTATACCTTATTCCTTTCGCTACTTTTTCGGTTTTAGCAATTTCGGCGAAGTCTGCAAGGGTATTAAAACTTCGGCTTGCCGAAGTTAGCTTCCGCCCTCATTTCTTTTAAAACTTTAAAATATTTTTGTATACCTTTTTCTACATATCTTGTTTTTTTTTTTTGATTCATTTGTTACCAATTAGTTATGATTTCAATCTAATTAAGTTTTTTTTTCAGTCTTGGAAAGATAAAATTAAAATTATATTCAAATTGTCAGATTATTGCCTTGCTCAAAATTGCGTTGTTCGGGCTCGCAGATTTGCACTACGCTGCGTACCTGTCTTCGTGAGACTTTTTAAAAGGAATTTTTGTTTTGGGAAGCTTTGTGCTCTATGCCGATCTCTGTTTTTGCCAAATTTCCAGCAAATATCGGTCGGATAATGTTTAATAAGCTTTCCGTTTGCACTCTCTTTATTGGCACATGTCGGTACCAAAAACTTCGAGCCTTGCAAGGCATTTTCCATAATTTACGTAACATAACTACCAGGGTGAGAATAAAAAACGGAATGGGAGGTAAAAGATGTTTACATATAAATTTATTTCACAACACATATAACAACCTTTGATTCAGTTTTAAAAAATATTTAATCCTTTTCGGAATATAGGTATTTGGCTTGGGCAACAAGACATACGAACACTACAATAAGGTGGCCATATACGTGGACAAGCGGCTGGAGGAACTGGGCGCTAACCGAGTCTTTGAACTCGGGTTGGGCGACGATGATGCTAAGTAAGATGTGTATATGCTAAAAAGAAACAAAGTTTATACTTTAATATTGCGATAGCATCGAGGATGACTTTATCACGTGGAAGGACCGCTTTTGGCCCGCTGTTTGCGACCACTTTGGCATCGAGGGCGGTGGCGAGGAAGTGCTCATTCGCCAGTACCGTCTGCTGGAACAACCGGAGGTGCAGCCTGACCGCATTTACACTGGAGAGATCGCACGTTTACACTCGATGCAGAACCAGCGGCCGCCCTTTGATGCTAAGAATCCCTTCTTGGCACCCGTCAAGGTTAATCGCGAGCTGCACAAGGGTGGCGGTCGCTCCTGCATGCACATAGAGCTGAGCATTGATGGGTCCAAAATGCGCTACGACGCTGGAGATCATGTCGCCATGTACCCTGTTAACGACAAAAGCTTGGTGGAAAAGCTTGGCCAGTTGTGCAACGCAAACCTGGACACTGTCTTTTCGTTGATTAACACGGACACGGACAGCAGCAAGAAACATCCGTTCCCCTGCCCTACCACGTATCGCACCGCACTCACCCACTATTTGGAAATTACAGCAATACCCCGCACGCACATCCTCAAGGAGCTTGCTGAGTATTGTAATGACGAGAAGGAAAAGGATCTACTGCGCACCATGGCCTCCACCAGTCCGGAAGGTAAGTAGACGTGTATTAAATGCATTTGAGCTAGATCAGTTAACCATTTAAAAATTATCCAGATTACACAAAAACACATCTGTAGGCTATAAGAAATATGCATTAGACTAAGCCAATAGGTGTTATAAAAATATTCTCATTTTGTCTGTCGTAACAACAACATATTTTTGTTTCTTTCCTAAACGTACAATTTTTTTGTAGCGTGTCATATTTATTTAGATAAATAGCTATTGATTGCCTTACTACGGGATAATTTTTGCCATGTTGGGCTAACTGCATAACTCAAGATACGAAATGCTGTTCTGTGTTTTGATTTTGATACGGAAGATAAACAATGGTGGTTTCTCCGTATGGTATTTTCCCCGCCATTTTAAATGCTGCTTAGAGCAGCTGTGCCCAGTAGTGATAATATCAGAATAAGGTCGACCGACAGAAAAAATGCTTCTTTTAATATTCTTCATATAGTGTAAGTGCCAGAATTAGAGTAAAATCCGGCAAATCGACTGCTTTTATACCCTTGCAGAGGGTATTATAATTTTTGTAATTCTTCGTTAGGGACTTCCCACCTTTCAAAAGCCTAGCAACATCCAGTTGGGAGCTTTTCCAAAATGACTGGAACATATGCGATAAGTTTAGACCACCGAAATCAGTAATTTCAGTTTTTTTGCGCAGTTTTTCTAAAAGTGCTAACAACAAAATAGGCTAAAGAAGTTTATTTTGAAACATCGAAATTATGTAAATTTAAAGTTATCATTCGCAGTGCAAGCACAAAATATGACTTCACATAAAATATAATATGTTTGTCCACATATAAACCATTAAAAACTAAAATAATATCTATCCGGACTGATGAAAACTGACTCACTAAATGAAGTAACCAAAAAAGGAACAAGGCTTTTGACTAATTTCTTTAATTAAATAAATTTTAAAAACATAATATAAGTTTTTGTCTAGGTTTATTCAATTTATATTGAGATACACTAACAGAAAAATGTTCCTTGTAATTTTCGGATAATTCTTTCACAAGTTACAGTGTCTACATTAGGTATATTTTGGCTACTCTGGTTTTTTTTTTCCAAAATGTGATTTTTGCTTGAAACTTTCCCAAAAGTTGTCTATATCATACAGCCGGAGCGGGCGACTATTTCGAGAAAAAAAATTTTTTTAAGTATAACTTTGCTGCTTTTAATTTTTTTTGTGTTCTATTTATTTAAAAACGATGAACGGTTTTAATTAAATTAAAATCGGACATATATATTAGACTTCTGCATGAATGTACTCATTTGTAACATAACAGATCTGTACAGTAGTATGGTGTTCTTAAAAATACTGCACTCATTCTTTACTGTACAGTATACTCTATAGGCCAGAAGAAGATAGCACAACATTTTCAGTGTACTCACTTCGAGTGATTACAGTATATGGTTGTGGTCTTCGTGAGTGAGTACAGCATTTGTCCTTTTTTAAACAATGCAGTGAAAATTGCCACCACTGAAGGCATGGTAAATAAAATAATGTTCCTTCATTCCAATATTAATAACTTAAATATATATTCTTGAATAACATAAAATAATTTTTATAATTAGTTTTAATTAAAATATTAATAATTTCTAAATTCTTTATTTTATTGTAGTGTTATTGAATTACTCGAGGTCATACGTTGGTTATATTTTAATTTCTTCTATAACACAACGATTTATTCCACTTAACTTTCTTTATTTTATAATAAATACATTTGAAACGAAAATACAAATCAATTTTTTAATCGTATTCTTTCTATGACATACATACACACGAGATCTATATATGTGTGTATGTACCAGTCATTACCCTGCAGTACCGTTCATCACCTTTTAATCACTTTTTCATCACCAAAAATTCATCACTGCTGATGATTAATCGATGAATCTTCATACAAATTAGTGATGGATTTAACATTGGCATGTCCTAGGAGTTAATCAGTGAAAAATTCATCACTCTTTAATCAGTAATTCATCACTCTTTTTTCAGTTTTCCATCACTCTTTAATCAGTAATTCATCACTCCACTCCATTTTGTCAGCTCATTTTATGCGGAGAGAGACAGAGTAAGAGAGGGAGATGAAAATTTGTCTGCGTTTTCTACGATCGGGGACTGAGAGTTTCGGGTCTGCCTGCGTCGCACTCGGCTCTGCCGACTCTGCCTTCGGCTCTGCCGGCGTCGCAGTCCGCTGCTGATTAAACGGTGATGAATTTTTGTAGTGATGAATTTCGGAACTGCAGGGTAAATTTCTCAAACTGTACAGTAAGTATACTGCACACCAAAACACTGTACAGTACGTTGACTACTGCACACCAATTTTGCTGTACTCATCAACAGCTGTAGAACTATGGAATAAGTGAGAACACTGTCAATCAAAACAGACAATACTACCCTACTCACTCACACCCAAATATACTGTGCAGAAAAGAAAGTGTGCCCACTTCTAGACTAAGTGATTCATTTGTCGTTTTGGATGCATTCATGCAGAAGTCTAATCTATATCATAAAGCTGGCATAGGAAAATCAAAAATTAAAAAAATTCGTCTTGTCGAAGTTTACTTCCTTTCTTGTTTTAATTTACATTTACCAAACCCAAACAACTACTACAAAAATGTAAAAAAAGAAATACGAGTATTTTTCTTTTCCAAATAGTCATTTTAGACACATATTTGTTTTAGCCATGTTGATTAGTTTAGAAATGTCCGCCCATACGATTTTTAAGCACCCAAATCGACCAACCCTAAAACATATATTTTCGTTTAATTTTTTTTTTATTTCTAAACACTTCTTTCATGTATCTTATTACAGGAAAGGAAAAGTACCAGAGCTGGATTCAAGACGCCTGTCGTAATGTGGTCCACATTCTGGAAGACATTAAGTCCTGCCGTCCTTCTATCGACCACATTTGCGAGCTTCTGCCCCGTTTACAGCCACGGTACTATTCCATCTCGTCGTCAGCTAAGCTGCACCCTACTGATGTGCACGTGACTGCCGTGCTCGTGGAGTACAAGACTCCTACGGGACGCACCAACAAGGGTGTAGCCACGACGTATCTAAAGAACAAGCAACCCCATAGCGGCGAGGAAGTTAAAGTGCCAGTGTTTATTCGAAAATCTCAGTTCCGATTACCTACGAAGCCGGAGACTCCTATCATAATGGTGGGTCCGGGCACTGGTCTTGCGCCCTTCCGTGGATTTATCCAGGAGCGACAGTTTCTACGTGACGAGGGCAAGAATGTGGGCGAGTCGATACTGTACTTCGGTTGCCGTAAGCGCATCGAGGATTACATCTACGAAACCGAGTTGGAGGAGTGGGTAACAAAGGGCACACTTAATCTGAAGGCCGCCTTTTCCCGTGACCAGGCAAAAAAAATCTATGTTCAGCATCTCCTTGAGCAGGATGCAGATCTAATATGGAAAGTGATTGGCGAGAACAAGGGACACTTCTACATATGCGGGTAAGTGTTTCGAAAACCGATTTGCATATGTTATATACTTTATCATCTGTTCTATTTCAGTGATGCGAAAAACATGGCCGTGGACGTTAGGAACATTTTAGTGAAAATTTTGTCCACCAAAGGTAACATGAGCGAGGCTGAAGCCGTGCAGTATATCAAGAAGATGGAGGCTCAGAAGCGCTACTCGGCCGATGTCTGGAGCTAATCTGGTCCAAATGGACACCTATAAGCGTAAAGTTTTCTAGTTTTTAAAGCTGTGTAAGCGTAATTTTTGGTTTGGGAACTTCTTACTGCAGTTCAACAAACGATGAATGAGTAACGATTAGTATATATCTAGTTTAAATAACTCTAGTTTGTCCCTGGTCTGTTTAATGGGGCAAACAAAGACGGAATATAAGTAATGAAATGAGCGGAGTAACAAGTCTTCGATTTAAGTAGCTTTGCACGAATGCAGATTAATTAGAGTTTTTTACGTGCATTTTATTATGTATTCTCTTGGTGATTTCAATACAAATACGAAACATGTTGTGCAATTTTAAAAATGACACTGAAATTGTATTTTTAAAAATAAAAATATTAACTTTTTGCTGCAGTTCAACAAACGATTTAGTATATATATAGCTTAAATAACTTTCTGGTTTGTCCCCGGTCTGTTCAATGGGGCAAATTTAAACGGAATTTTAGTAATAAAATGATTGGAGTAACAAGTTTTTGATTTAAGTAGATATGTACTGAATTTTCGAGTTTTTTACGAGCACTTTATTTTGTATTCTCATGGTGATACGAACTGTAACATTGGCACTTATTGTATTTTCATAAATAAACAATATACAAAAATTGTTGTCTACTATTAAACCCTGCAAAATCTCTTATGAAGCACTAATCGAAATAAATTTATTTATGCTCGAATGTAATTATTGATGGAATAGAACTGGCGGCGTAGCTATTGCGCATAATTAATTAATTTTATTAATTAAAACATTTTTTACCCTATATAGTATATATATTCTTGATCAGCATCACCAGGAGAGTCGATATAGCCATCCGTCCGTCTGTCCGTCCGTCTGTTTCTACGTAAAATAGATAGATAGATAGATAGATTAAGGATCTGCCATATTTTCAAACATTTAAGGTTTTGAAAATATTAGTGCTTGTGATAGTATGTAGATAAATTCGCAGTTTCAACTGAATTCCAAGGAGTTGTTATATTTCTTTATTTTAATAAAATGGTTGGGCTTCTAAACTCTGCTTATTGCCGTGTGAAGTTTATTATCAATCTAACTCTTGCCTTTTTGTCCTCTGCTTGCTTGGATATCGATCTACTGCTTTCTGACGGCCACAAACTAGCCCTATTCAAAGCCTGGGCAACAATTAGAATGCGCGTCCAAAACAAATCACACTAAACCCACATCAGCGCGATCCACAGCTTTCAATAACAGGTCAGCGAAACTCAGCAGAATCCCCTACCTCGAAGTGGCCACACAATCCGACGTCTATATAAGCAGAACTATTTCTTTGTAATCAGTAACCAATTGTATACACTAAGTCAGTTGCTCATGTTATTCTTGGGGACTGAAAGTTATACCGATCTGAAGAGGGGCAAAACTAAATACAAACCCTGGCCACGGCGAGCAATGCTGCCTTACGAGAAATTGTCGTTACAGTAGCGCCTAAGCAGATAAGGACAAATAGACAGTGCCCCGTTTTAATTGGAACACCATGGCGGACGAAGTAAGACGAGGCTGGGTGAGCAACACCAACAAAGCTCGGATCAAAATCAAACAAGAAGCCCTACCGGAAGATATGCGAAGGCAGATGTTAGAGTTCATAAGGAACAGCAATCACAGCGGGGAAACACTCAAATGACTTTTAGATCTGGTACAAGAAGCCCCTCACCAACACCCGACGGACTTAGCAACTAACCAAGCGGGATCAGGGAAACCAAACAACCCTGCAATGAAGGGAGAGAATGCGATCCCACAAGGATCGGCCGAAACAAAGTTGCCATTATTAGCAGAACAGAGAAACTAGCAGAAGCATTCGGAATAGAACTGGATCAAGCATCAGGAGCCATGGTAATCCTACACAGAGGCTTTGGACTGGTGGCACACCCAAATAACACCAATGCTCACATAAAGGAACCTTATGACGAAAGCATCTCACGCTGTCACCAGGGTAAGATGAGCCAGGTAAGGAATACACACTAGAACTCCCGTTAGTTATGAGATCTACTACGCCAAACCTGGGGAATGCCCAAGATTAAGAGAATTAATTCGGATAGCAGAGGAGTACGGCAAAACGCAGCACATTGGGGACCACTTTAACCACCGGAGAACTACTGGAGACCTCCACAAGATTAACAAATTCTTGATACCTCAACAAACACCGGAACATGACTGGAGACTTCAACAACCACCGCAAGCTATTGAAGACAAGCACTAAACACTAGATCAAAAAAGTAGCTATTGGCAAATACCAATGAAAGAATGCAGTAAGCAAATCACAGCTTTTACGGTCCCCGAACAAGGAATGCTCTAGAGGAAGGTAATCCCATTAGGCCTACAAACAAGACCACGAACAACGAAGCAGGTACACAGCTTACTAGGAGTAGGATGCTTCGTTCCAGACTTTATAGAACTGGAACAGCCGCTTTATAATAATGTCGAAAACGGAGTTATATTAAATTGAGATTAAGAACGAGAAAATGCGACTCAATCCTTCAAGCGTGCCCCAACAGAACACCGGTCCTTGCTTGCCCAGACTTTACAAGAAACCTCGTACTACAGGCTGACGCCAGTGACTGTAGATTAGGAGCGGTACTGACGCAAGAAGACGAGAACGGCGAAAACGTGATTTCGTAAGCTATCCGGAAACTGACGAAGGCAGAACGAATACACACAATGAATATACAACCGTGGAACCAGCGAGAATGTGTATTGAGAGAAAATTATAGCGAGGTAAAAGGTGATCACTTGGGAATTCGGAAAACAAATCATGGATCGGGACTTAGAGCAATAATTGCGACGCTGCGTAGTATGCCAACGATACAAAACGTCGCAATAAGTGGTGCATTTTGTAATCGACTCTTTTTCAATGAGACGGGTAAACGAAGAATATCGGGTAAAAATGTTGTCACCCGTCACAGTCGTATGACTGTGGATCTTCGTCGGCTAAACTTCTAAGATACTTGAGTTGGGACCAGCTTTTTATACCCTTTCAGAGAGTATTATTATTTCAGTCAAAAGTTTGAAACGCAGAAAAGGAGACATTTCCGACCCTATATATATATTCTTGATCAGCATCACCAGGAGAGTCGATCTAGCCATGTCTGTCAGTCCGCCTGTCCCCCCGTCCTTTTCTACGCAAACTAGTCCTTCAGTTTTAAAGCTATCTTTTTCAAAAGTTGTCTTCCTATTGTACTTAGTATATAAGTCGGAACAAGCCGGATCAGGCGACTATATCATATAGCTCCCATAGGAACAATCGGAAAAAACAATTCAAAGAAATTATAACTTTGTTTTTTTAAATTATTTTCTTTGTTCTTTGGGACTTGGTAATATTTTAATATTATGGAATTATAGTTTTAATTAAATTAAAATCGGACAACAATATCATATAGCTGCCATAGAAACGATGGCAAAATGTAGCGTAAAATCGACAAAGCTTCATTGTTTTTAGTAAAATAGGCAGAGAAATCGAAATATAGTAGATTTGTAACAACTGCAAAGGTATATAAGCTTCGGCTTCCCGAAGTTTGCTGCCTTTCTTGTGTTGTATAGGAATAGACAGCAACTATTCCTTGCCGTAGCGATTTAAGGGGAGAGCCTGCTTTAGAGGCTTCAAAAAATCGATTTTTTTGTATTGGCCAAACTATGTGTCCCTAAAATTTTAGACGCAAATTCAAAATATTTTTAAAGTTACAGGAGAAATAGTGAGCATGGGTCGAGCAGGTATACGAGCGTCTCGATCTTTTGTATGTATTGAAACTATTATAGCTACCCTGCAGTACCGTTCATCACCTTTTAATCGCTTTTTCATCACCAAAAATTCATCACTGCTGATTAATCGGCGATGAAACTTCATACAAATTAGTGATGAATTTAACATTGGCATGTCCTAGGAGTTAATCAGTGAAAAATTCATCACTCTTTAATCAGTAATTCATCACTCTTTTTTCAGTTTTTCATCACTCTTTAATCAGTAATTCATCACTCTTTTTTCAGTTTTTCATCACTCTTTAATCAGTAATTCATCACTCTTTTTTCAGTTTTTCATCACTCTTTAATCAGTAATTCATCACTCTTTGAACAGCGTTTACTGATGAACATGCGATGAACGAGTGATTAAAATGCGATGAAATAGTGATTAACGAGTGATGAATTACTGATTAAAGAGTGATGAATTCATCACATTTTCATCAGTAATTCATCACTCTTTACTCAGTAATTCATCGCTTTTTCATCTCATTTTCATCGCATTTTCATCGCATTTTCATCGCATTTTCATCGCTTTTTCATCGCATTTTCATCGCTTTTTCATCGCTTTTTCATCGCTTTTTTTCATCAGTAAAATTCATTCAGTAAATTTTCATATAAATTTCATTTTTTATTTTATTACAATATTTCATTATTATTTCATTTATTTCATTACATATAACTAATTAATTTAACTTAATTCAATCTACATATGTACGTTTTCAGTTGTCCCGGAGGTGTTGAGGATGTTTCGGTTTCCGTGCCCTTTTTTTGACTTCGTGCTTTATGTACTGGCTCTTCCTGACCAAGTATATCTGAAATAGAAAAATTATTAAAAAAATAAAAACTTACTGCGTTTTTTGTTTTGCCGCCGGCCAAGTCCAGCTTAGTTTATGCTGGCCCAACAGATTTATTATAAGCTTCGCCTTAAATAATGAATAAATATATTAACAGTATATGTAGGTACAGTTCAAAATAATTAATAAAATAACACTTACATAAATTTCTGATAAATTTAGTTATAAAATTTCACAAAAAATCTCTGCTTCGATCTGTTTTCTCCGTTCTCTCAAATGCAAGTGCACGTAAAAACAGCGAAAACAACTTCAGTTGAAAACAAGGGCGCTGTTAATCCTATTGTTCTTTCCTCTGCCTAATTTGTCTTTACATGTTTCGCTTCGCGTCAAAGCAGGGTATATAAAAGCATGTCCGACTATGCAAAATAATCACATAACTTAAATTCACTTAAAAAAGGAATCCATACCTTTCAAAACTATCATAATAATTTTATTTTTAAAAAGTATTTCCATAAAATAATATAATTAATAAGAATCAACAACTACAATACAAAAATTATGCTAATTTATTTTCAAGGGTGTATAAAGGTCGATCTGATTTTAATACATTGTCCTCCACCTCTCAGCTCATTTTATGGGGAGAGAGAAGGAGTAAGAGAGGGAGATGGAAATTTTTATGCGTTGCCTACGATCGGGGACTGAGAGTTTCGGCTCTGCCTGCGTCGCTCTCGGCTCTGCCGACTTTGCCTTTGGCTCTGCCGGCGTCGCAGTCCGCTGCTGATTAAACAGTGATGAATTTTTGTAGTGATGAATTTCGGAACTGCAGGGTATTCTACGTATCCAAAGTGACCAACAATACTTCGAGACACTATCAACAGTTCGTAGAAATTCATTAAAGGCTATGGTAGGAATAAAAGTATGTGTTATAACGGTATATCTTAGCTGGCTGCGTCGGCTTGAGCAAATCTAAATTTAGCATTTAAGTTCAGTTTTGATTTGTCTTTCGGCACTTGAACATCTTGTAATCATGCAAAGCCATCTGAAAGTAAAAAAATCTTCAAATGAACGGGCAATCAGTTCCATAATGATTCGTCATCTGACAATGGAGAAGTTGGCGTCAGCGACTACGGACGATGTTATAATTTATTTACTTTTTTGAAGAGACTGAAGGGAAACTCTATGGACCTGGAATCGCTGATTAGCATATTATTGAGGTAAGTTTAAGAATATTACGATTTTGTATATACCAAAATTTTGACGTCCGATTTTTTGGTTTTTCATTTTAACGATTTTTCTTAATTGGCGGGAAAGATAGGAAAAAATTACCCGTCCTATCGAAACAAGACAAAATTTATTGTATTCGGGACTAAATTATCTTCTAGTTGAACATAAAAAATCTTAAGAATGTTGTGATTAACCCGCTTTTTAAACAATCTTAATTTCGGAAATTTTTTTTGAATTTTTTATTGTTTGTTAAATTTTCTTGGTTTAACTAGAAGCTATACAATTGAAAATATAACATTTTTTGATGCTTGTAAATGAGAATGCTTGTAATTTAAGAAGACTGTTGAAATATATAAAATTAAAACCTGAAAGTTTTGTTTTAAATCAAGTTTTACTTTCCTTCCCAAAAAAGACCTCGGAAAAATTGATTTTTTGAAGCTTCTAAAGCAGGCTCCCCCTTTAAACCGTAATTCCATAGTATTTAACAATTACCAAAGAACAAAAAAAAATTAGAAACAAGAATGGAAGTAAACTTCGGCAAGCCGAAGATTATATACCCTTGCAGTTATAACAAATCGACTAAATTTCGATTTCTATGCCTATTTTACTAAAAACAATGAAGCTGTGTCGATTTTGGGCTGCATATTGCCATCGTCTATGGCAGCTATATGATATTGTTGTCCGACTTTCACAAAACTAAAAGCGTAATTCTGATATAGTAAATAATTACTAAATCTCCAAGAAATATTTTGATAAATTTTTATTTAATTTTTTAATTATTTGATTTTCTTATGAGAGCTAGATGATATAGATGTCCCATTTTATTATAATTAAAACCGTTTTTTTTTGTACTAATATTTATTAAAGCGTTGATCCACCAACTTAATGGCTATAAAACGCATGGAAAAACCAAAGAAGAACAGGAAAGGAAAGCTAACTTCGTTCCCTTTGTAACGACCCTGTTTTGGGAGACGGTATAGCTCGCCGTGGTTAGGGTTCGTGACAGATATTTATATTTTCCTCTATAGATTAATTTACCTCCCTTTCCCCAATAATGACCCAGAGGGAAAGAACTATAAAGGAGACGTGTATTTCGAAGTAATCGTACAATGTACGTTGGTCGTGTGGTTGTGTATAGATGAGTCGGGACCATGATACAATAACATAAGGTAGACTCGTCGGCAAAATCTGGTACCTCTACTATTATAGCAATGAGTGCGAGTGAAATGGGAACTGTTTAGTAAGTGCGAGCAGAGCGACAATAGAATGTGTGGATTAACCCTTAGATGTTTCAGGTGTTTTTTTGCCTTTCATAATAAAACGAGTTTAATTTTTATACCCTTGCAGAGGGTATTATAATTTCAGTCAAAAGTTTGCAACGCAGTGAAGGAGACATTTCCGACCCTATAAAGTATATATATTCTTGATCAGCATCACCAGGAGAGTCGATCTAGCCATGTCCGTCTGTCCGTCTGTCCGTCTGTCCGTCCGTCCGTCCGTTTCTACGCAAACTAGTCCCTCAGTTTTAAAGCTATCTGCTTGAAACTTTCCCAAAAGTTGTCTTTCTATTGCAGGTAGTATATAAGTCGGAACGAGCCGGATCGGGCGACTATATCATATAGCTGCCATATAACTGAACGATCGGAAAAGCCATAACGTTGATGTTTTTAAAGTTAGGAAGTTGGGATTTTCTATGAGTTTTATTTTTGACCAATTTATCCGACCTACCAAATTTCATAAGGATCGGACGACTATATCCTATAGCCGCCATATAACTGATTGATCGGAAATGCCATAACTTTGGTGTTTGCAAAGTTAGGAAGTTGGGATTTTCTATGTGTTTTATTTTTGGCCAATCAATCCGACCTACCAAATTTCATAAGGATCGGCCGACTATATCCTATAGCTGCCATATAACTGAACGATTGGAAATGCCATAACTTTGGTGTTTTTAAAGTTAGGAAGTTGGGACTTTTTATGAGTATTAAGAATACATAATATGAATAATTTTGAAGAATATAATTTACAGAATATTCTGCAAGGGTATATCAACTTCGGCTCCGTCCGAAGTTAGCTTTCCTTTCTTGTTTTTTATAATTTAATTTTTAATAATTTGGAATTTGAAACTAGGCGTTGTTTTTGTCTTTGAATGGTAAAGCTTTTGTTAAGATTCTTAATTCCTCCCACAGCGCTCTTTTTTTTGCAAACATTTCGGTGCTTTTCAAAATTTTACGCCATCGACGTGTTTGCGGCACAAATTGCAAAAAGTCATGTTGCTCAAGGGTTTATTCTGTAAAAAATTCGTCCGCAGACAACCTTTTCCTTCAAAAAACGAACACGCACTGATCAAAACCCGAACGTTTAGACAGCCGACGAGACTACCTTATGTTATTGTATCATGGTCGGGACTGCTTGCTTTGTCGATTCGGCGCTATGGAAGGGCCGAATGATGAACTGCTTGCTGTCGTGATCCGGCGCTACGGAAGGGCCGAGTGATAAACTGCTTGTTGTCGTGACCCGGCGCTGCGGAAGGGCCGAAAAGTCGAGAAGTGGACTGCATCGTCGGGTTCGTAGTGTTCTGGTCGTTGGAAGAGATCTACTTGGATTTCTAGTGGGATTTGGGAATGAAGGGCATCGTTAGTATCGGTCTGCCGGTTATCGTTAGGTTCGAACTGCCGTTCTACATCCGTTTCGTTTCCGGGTCGGGAGCCGGAAACGTTACGTCTGGGGGAACTCACTGAGGTGGGCCTGTATTACGTAAACCGGGCCGCCTCAGTGATCACGACTGGGTCTGGGATTTCTCGGAAACCAAGCCGGGACGCCAGTGGTCTAGAGCTGCAAAAAAATCGATGGTACTATCGATAATATCGATGGCAGGCCGCCGGTGACCGTGTTCGATATTTTTCAGACTATCACGATAGTATTATAAAAAATTTCCATCATTAGAACAATTAAATACGAAAAATTGAATATCTACTAATTTTCTCTTGTTTTCGACAGAAATATTAACATATTTGTATAATTACACTATCTTTTAGAAATTATTTTCTGAATGAATGCCCCTAATATATTGGTTTTATATTGGTTTTACATGAATACCCCTAATGTTAACATACGGTCGATAGTATCGCGATAATATCGATGTTTACTCTGCAAACAATCAAAACTATCGATAGTGCCACCATCGATGTTTTTGCAGCTCTACAGTGATCCTTACCAGCTCGCAGAACCGATTTAAAAACCGAGTTCTTTCGGATCCGCTACCAATACCAAGACTATCTACCAAGTGTGGATATTTCTCCTTGTTGCTGATGTTTCCTCGATGATCGTCGGAACGCAAGTCTCTCCTCTGGGGTCTTGCCTCTGCTTATATAGGCCCCGTTGAGTGTGCCCAGAGCGGTCGATGTAGAGAATCCCGATATCGATAACTCGTTATCGGGTCACGAATATAGCGATGGTTTTAATATTCAAGCACAGGAAACCGCCAAAGGCGGACCTGAATTCATTTATTCACCTTGTTGCATTTCAAGTTGGAATCGGCTGGAAGAATTAAGAAGGAGGTATTCGTTTTTGGTAGGGCTATCGATAAAGTAGGAGGGTGGCAACTACTACTGGAGTGGCGCCCCCTTCTGCTGATGTCTTGGCTATCTAGCTATTTAAAATAGCCCGGTTCGCTCTGGGTATGGCTAGGATGGCCTTGATATGTCCAATGACCCAATTTCGAGAGAGGCGAAGGGAATATGGCGAGATATAGGCATGATAGGCAAATTTTTATATAGTCGCAGCCATATTGTCCCAGCAGACAGAACAAAAATGTTAAAATAGTGTTTGTGCCGAAATATAATAAAAAGTGAGTGTTAGAGAAATTTGTGTTAGGTTTAATAGTTTATTTTATTTATAAATAATTATTCGTAGGGCAACCGGGGTCCCAATACAAAGGGCCCCGGGATATTTAAATTGGAGGAAATTAAATTGGAAGTTCAAATTAGAAGACTTAATTGGACATATAAAATTGGACTAATTAAATCTGGAAATTCAAATTGGAGATTTAAATTGGAGGGAATTAAATCTGGAAAATAAAATTGGAAATAAATCGTGATTTTACATTGGAGGAAATTAAATCTGGGAAATCAGGAAAATACGCACCTTCGGTCGAGCCAGCTACGAGATCTGGACAAACACTACTCGCCTTCCTCGGACGCAGCCAACGCCATCCGACATTCACCGGTGAGTCCGTTCCGGGCTATTAAGACCCACCTGCTTTGGGGTCGTCAGGCTGCCAGTGCGCGCGGCGTTGAGAGGCACCGGCGCCTAGCCCAGGAGTGGCTGAAATTATTAACGTTAATTTAACTGTGCACATTACTAAATTTATGTACTTACCTGTTGACCTGTAAATTTATCCGGACTTAGACCCGAAAACCTCAATTCTTGTCCTCGTTGTTGCCTGTAAAAAAGGGTCGCGATTATTAGTTTTCGGCGGGATTGTTTACAGCGCGTAATACTTACCGTTTGGCCTGTCCCTTCTTTTCCCTAGGAGCTCCTCAGGATTAGGTGACCCGACACATACCTAGTGTGTGCCCTTTTTTTGCGCCTCGTTCCACTGCGAGTTCCACCAATACATGTCTGGTGGAACATTATTTCCGCGGCGCCTGTAGCCTTTGCCAAAGGAAGGTAATCTTCCGCTTTGACCGATTAAATTTGAAGACGGTGGCCAAGTTTGGTCGTAGAGGCTATGAAAGGATAAATTAATTACTAGGAGAACAAGTTATGTTAACTTTAGTACTTACTGTGGATATTAAATGTACATGAAGACTGAAATGTACGAGTGAGTTGTCGTTGTGGGGGAGATGGAGCTGTCCTAATCGCGAGGAGTGACTTGGACCAGCTGATCATGGGTGATGCCTCCGCAGAATCCTCCGGGGCATCCTTGGTTGGGTGGGCGTGCTTGGCTAGGTCACCAATAGCCACCAAAACGCCATATATTTCCCGTCACTTCAATTATTTGCATTGTTTACATTTTGTTTGTTTTGCTTGTTAGTGAAGACCGATATTTTTTGTGATGTGAGACGCGTGTCATCGATGTTTATGTTGTGAAATCTGTAGGGACATTGGGGATACTCCGCCCTGGGGATTCGGGAGCTAGCCGGCGCCGTCCCAGGACCAAATGCAGTTCCATAACATAGTGGCGCCCAAAGTAAAAAAATAAATCGTCGAGACGACGACGTCTCGCATATAGGGATTTGCCTCGCATAGCCTCCGCTCCGGTGACTTGCAGAGCAACAGCAGGTTGTATGCAACTGCACCGAGAGTGGTGGTCTGCGAGGCAGAGTGAAAGGTAGGGGAATTTATTTTTTGAGCAGGCAGGAGGCTTGACTCCGAATGGAGACAATGGCTCCTGGTCACAGCACAGACGAGGTGAACTGCGGGTGGCATCTTGGCCCAGAAGGGGAAAGATTTGCATCCGCGGATAGCTAAATTTGTGATAAAAACTGTGATAATAAACTGTGATAAAATATGTTAGGGCGTAGATTTTTATTTATTTATTTATTTATATTTTGTGTTTGTGGGGTAAAGTCAGTTGTAGTAATTCCATTTGTTGGTTTTTTTTGTTGATCCGGAGGCTTTTGGTTTCTCGGATGTGTTTGATACCTTCTGTCGGTTGGATGCTTAAATGTGTGTTCGTGACCCGTGACCTATGTACACGCGCTGCACGAACACCTCGATTTAAGGATCAAACCACAAACGGGAAAACAAAGCCAACAGGACTCAACGAGCAGCCGATGTCCTTAACTGGCGGCTATCACCAAGAGTGATAGCCAGTCCAGTTGACGAGCGGCGTGTGGAAGAATGTGACGGGAAAAATTGGGTTTTGGAAAGCACCGGACGAGCTAGGTCGGAAGTCCACCGGCGAGGGTCAGTTCCATCTCCCCTGATAAAAATCTCAGAAGAATTAAATCAATAAAGGAGGAATCATAAATAAATCATATCTATTTATTTATTCTATTTATTTTCGTACATTATTTATTTATTTTTCCAAACATTTATTTATTTACTAAAAAAAAAAAAAAATTATCTATTGATTTACTAAAATTATACATTTATTTATTTATTAAAAACATTTAGTTATTTATTTAAAATTTGGTTTCTATAATTATTATCTGTTATTACATGTTTATATATTTATCTTTTTATTTATTATTTGCTAGTCCTTTTTTTTAATATTTATTATTCTTCTTAAGTATTTATTTCTTGTGGTGATTTGTTTAGGGTAGGATATAGGAATTCTGAGGGAGATAGGTATATTTCTGTTTTGTTGTTCGGTGCGATACAAAGATGCCTTCCAATTACGATCTCCCATCGAAGGTTCTTCCGGCCGAGGAAGAGGAGAAATTGTGGTCCACCGATTTAGATGAGGTTGCCGGGGCCGAACAGCCACGGATATCGATGGGACTGCCAAGGACTCCGTTGGGTCGTCTTCATCAGGAGCTGCGCAGGGAACTTCAGATGGGAACAGATCCCACGCAACATCGGCAGTAAATGTGGCATTGGCCCAGGCGGCAGAGACCCATCGGAAGGCTCAGGAGTCCGGCGTCAGCCAGTCCTTAAGGGATGAAATCCGAGGTGGCTTCCTGGAAATGATCAAGTTGATGAACGAGGTGTTAAGGCCTACTGCTCAGCGGCCGCAGCTTCCACTGGGGAACCATACCGATCAGCAACAGCATCCGGGTTGGACGGACACGGCGGCACCACTGGCTCCAAGTCTGGTCCAGAAAGGGGCGATTCCAAAGACTGCACCATCAGCAAGTTCGATTGGCTCCCGTCCACCGCCACCAAGGGTTCCACCAAAGCCGCCTAGAAGGCCCGTGGAGTCGTTTCCGGTGGAGAGCAGCAGTCCAGGATATCCGCTGGATGGCGAACGAGGGCGACGCAACGAGCCTCGAAATTGGCACTTCGAGGACCGCAGGGCTTCTGATTTCCGCGAGGAGCCGCGCTTTTATGCCAATACAGGGCCAGGTGGCGGCAGCCAACAGGTTCGCATCGAGCGGTGGGGCGTTTCATTTGATGGCGAGGACGAGCGAAACTCGGTGGAAGATTTCCTGTTCCGGCTCGAGTTCCTGCAGCGGCAGTACCAGTGCCCTTGGCAGGAAGTGCTCCACCATTTCCATGTGCTGCTAACCGGACGGGCACGCGAGTGGTATTGGGTCCACGTGCGTCAATGTAGGGTGGAGAGATGGCCACAGCTGCGTGCTGCGCTGATGGACAGGTTCCGAGGCCACCAGACGGAGCCCGACCGGATGCATCAGCTTCTGCAGAGGGAACAGCAGCCGGGAGAAGCCGTTGAGGACTATGTCCATGCGATGCAGCAGCTAGCCTCTCGCCTAAAAAAACCACTGTCAGAGCGACAGGTGGTAAAGATAATTAAAAAGGGCTTGAGAGAGGGTATTGCAAGATTTGTTTACGCAATGGATGTGATGACTGTGGACGAGTTGAGGGAAGAGTGCTGCGAGGTGGAGCGCAATTTTGGACGACGAGGACGCGCGGCCTATGCGCACCCGATGCGTTATCCTCCGGCGGAGAAGGCCAGGGTTAGCGAGGCAGCTGGTCCCGACACTGCAGAGGATTCCCAGTGGCAGGTGGAGGCGTTGCAAGCGAAGACCCGAAATCCGTTCCGAGCGGGCTGCTGGAATTGCGGAGCCGTAGACCACGGGTTCCGTGACTGCGCGGCAACAGAACGGCGCCTGTTCTGCTACCGATGCGGAAGGCCAGACACTGTGTCTCCGAGATGTCCGGATTGCGCGGAAAACGGTCGGCTGGGCGATCCGAGGGCGGGAAGGATGCGTCCAGACAAGAGTCCCGCGATGCAGTAAATGTTCTAGAATGTAAAAAAGGTTTAGTATGTACGAGTAGGAATAAGAACCATTTAAAATACTTACCTTATGAGGAAAGGATGCGTCGGTACCTGGAGACCAGGAACCGAATTTTCTCCGAGCACCAGTTAGCCGGCATGCGAACGGTGTCTAGGAAAGTCCAGAAGGCCAGGGATCGATTCCGTAAGAGACGAGCGAAGAGGCGAGGAGTGGTTGCCGCGGTGAAGCGCAGTGGAACGGGAGACCCTCGACCATTCGCTGAAGTCCGGATCCTGACCCAACAGCTGACTGGCTTATTGGACACGGGAGCTAGTGTCAGCCTGCTGGGCAATGGTGGAAGAGAGCTCGTCGAGGCGTTGGATGTACCAATCCAGAAGTACCTGTCTGTGGTCCGAACAGCGTCTGGAGAGGATCGCACGATTATAGGACGCGTCGAGCTACCTGTGGAGTACCGAGGACAGATAAAGCGGATCCTGTTCTATGTATGTCCATACCTGGAGCAGGAAGCCTATTTCGGAGTGGACTTCTGGCAGGCGTTTGGCTTGGCTCCAGCGGTGATAGGCCCCAGCAACCCGGAAAGCGTGAAGAAGGCAGACGAAATCCACGCTAGGGATATGGAGCACTACGCCGAACAGGAGGATGACGACGAGGAGAAACCGGATCCCGAATCCTGGACCTTATCCGGAGCCGACGCACGACAGCTCGCTGAGATCCAGGAGGTGTTTCTCACATTTGAGAAGGATGGTCTGGGTACGACGAATTTGGAGAAGCACACGATCGAGCTGATCGAGGGAGCCAAGGTCTTCAAGGATCGGCCATATCCCATGTCTCCAGCGAAGCAGAAGGTTGTCGAGGATGAGGTGGACAAGATGCTAGCGCTCGGAGTCATCGAGGAGAGCATGAGCCCGTGGAGCAACCGGACGACGGTAGTGTCGAGACCTGGGAAAGATCGGTTCTGCTTAGACGCCCGCAAATTGAACGATCTGACCGGCAAAGACGCTTACCCGCTACCGAGTATCGACGGAATCCTGTCCAGAATCGACCAAACGTTTTACATTTCCAGCGTGGATTTGAAGTTCGCGTTCTGGCAGATCGAGTTGGACCCGAAGAGCAAGGAACTGACGGCATTTACGGTTCCTGGTCGGCCTCTCTACCAGTTCCGGGTTATGCCCTTCGGACTTTGCAACGCGGCGCAGCGGTTGGTGAGACTTATGGACCGAGTGATCCCAGCTGAGATCCGCTCCAACGTTTTTGTCTACCTCGATGATCTGCTGATACTGGCTCCAGATATCCAGACCCACTTCAAGTACCTTCGGAGAGTCGCGGAATGCCTGAAAGCAGCGGGGTTAACGATAGGTATGGGTAAGTCAAAGTTTTGCTTCAAATCATTGACCTACCTGGGCTTTATCGTTGGTGGAGGTCGTCTACGAATGGATCCGGGACGAGTAGCAGCGATCAGGAGGATGCCAGAGCCTAGGACGATGAAGGAGGTGAGAGCGTTCCTTGGGACTGCTGGATGGTACCGCCGGTTCATAAAGAACTATGCGACGTTGGCCGCCCCGCTCACTGAATCGCTGAAGAAAACGGGAAATTCTAAGTTTTCCTTGAGTCCAGAGGCTCAGCTTGCAGTAGAAGCTTTGAAGATGGCTTTAACGACTGCACCAGTCCTGGTGCATGCGGACTTCAACAGACGGTTCTTTATCCAGTGCGATGCGTCACACGTGGGAGTCGGGGCGGTGCTTTTCCAGCGAGACGACGACGGACAAGAGCAGCCAATTCCATTTTTTTCGGCCAAGATGAATAAACATCAGGTAAATTACACCGTGACCGAGAAAGAGTGTCTCGCGGCGCTCATGGCCATCCGGAAGTTCCGGCCATATGTCGAAGGGATGCCATTCACCTGCATCACGGATCATGCCAGCTTGAAGTGGCTCATGTCCATGAAGGATTTGTCGGGACGGTTGGCTAGGTGGTCGCTGCAGCTTCAAGGGTTCCACTTCAACATCGAGCACCGAAAAGGAAGTGAGAACGTCGTGGCAGACACCCTTTCACGGTGTGTGGAGGAGCTCGTAGTTAATCCGACGGATTTGTTGGGGTTCGAAACCACCGAGTTCGCTGGAGAAGATTATCTCGAGTTAGTGAAGGATGTGGTGAATAACTTGGATAACTTACAGGACCTGAAGATCGTGGATGGTCTCATCTTCAAGAGAGTCTCCTCGGTAAATCTGGACGATGAAATG